GGGTCTTTTTTTGCTGTGGCAACCCACCAACATCAGAGTCATCTTTTTTTACTAAAGTCTTGGGGACCTCATTGATTCCATCCAAATCTGGTTTTAATTGGTTTTCAACTGCCTTGTTTCAATGAATCTAACTGTTTAATATTATTTAAGTCCGCTTAAATTGTGCTTACAGTTTTAAAAACTTTAACTTTGATTTTAAGGTACCCTACCCTGAGATCTTTGTATACAGGATGGGATATAAATACTGAAGCTCACCACCCAAGTGAGAAAGAGGCCACCAGAATCCCAAGGCTGCTTCACTAAACTACTCCCCCCATCCCTACTAGCAGACTCACGCCTTCTGGTTGACGATGTTCAGGAGATCCACGACAACAGAAAGGTCATTGATGGCCACTGCTGAGTCCACAGAGGTCTGCAAAAAAGCAATAGAGGACAGCATGATTTGGGTGAGCTTCTTCTGGAACCAGACGTCCGGAGCCCCTCTCACAGGAGTCAAGAAAGATGTTCCCCCAGGGTCACTGCTACCCTCAACAGAGTTCAGTACAGCATAACGGATGTGTCGGGTTGGACAAAACTAACCCTCATACGTCCTCAAATCCACCTCTCAGTGTCCAAAGTCCTCTCCTCTGGCTCCCAGAAAACATACTCCCCCCAACTTCTGCTGTCCCCCATAACGAGGGGTGCAGGACTGTTGGTGTGCTGGAGCAAAACATGCTCATCTATAACCTCCACTGATCAAGAGGTGGCAAGGAAAAACACGCACCCTCTATAGTACATTTTTTTCAAAATCCAGGTTTTTATCTTGATGGCCTAAGGCATTTCAAAATGTCCTGCCCAACTGCATTCGGAAGCCTAAGTGATGGCATCCTGTTAGTGGCATACACACACACATAATGTTTTTTACACTTGTGTCCTTTTTTGGGAGTTGTGGAGGTGGGCCTTCCCTTCCTCCATCTGTAGCACCCAACACCCCCCACCTAGACTTGTCTGAGTCCCCTTGCAGGGCCACTCCATATGTCTTTGGGACAAGGCAAGATTAGAGAAGCATCTGGCTTTGTCCTAGTAGCCAGGTGTGAAATAATGGGATCCATGCCAAGACTCCAACAGACTTCAGCATTGCTGTAACCATTTCGTGTCTTGTTATGAGGACATGGCCAAACACTTCTCTGACCCTGCCCACTCCCAATGAGTCATGGAACGGTTATGTCAGAGAAGAGCTTCAGTGGCTGTACAGTTAAGTCCAGGAGGAGGTAGTGTATGGCTCAACCTAAGTCCACATACAGACATATTGCATTACAGTTAGCCACACAGAATCACAGCCAAGGTGAGACAAGGGTGCTTTCTGCAAGGAAGGAAGGAAGGAATTTTTTTGCACAGAGGCAGGAAGATGGGGACCACAGCCTAAAAAGCCAAGCACATTCTCCTCCCATCCCATCACTGGAGAAATGGCTTGCCTTGATATCTCCAGTGCTCCACACAGCTCTCACAGTGTCCAGGTTCTTATGGCGGCTGGTGAGCACCACACACATGGTCTCATGTCCCTTCCTGATCTGGGATACGGCCTCCTCATCTACAATTTCTGCCAGGTTTTGGTTCTTCACAGCCTGAAAGCAGAGAGACAAAATGACACACTGCACACTTACCATGGAGATACAATTCTGGGCTGGGAAAGAGAAAAGGAACCCACACAGTATGGGTGTCTCCCTATCATTATCCAGAGACAGGAAGAAACCACACAATAACCGACTGAACATGATGGATTCTTAGGGTGTTATTGGTCAGTTGTGTCAGTTTGTGTCCTGGCCAAGCTAATCAGAGAAAAACAGGAAAACAACAAAAAACATATCCACTGTTCCAGACCATTCCTGCCAGTAGAATACATTTAGGAAACCAGGATGGAAGGGGTGGATTCCTCCTCTCTACCAACCCAGAATGAACCTTCATAGTAAGTATCAAATGTAACATTGTCTGGCATGGGGAGGAGGAGGAATCCACACAACGTGGGACTGATCAAAGCCTCTCCAGGTCTGGATGGAGGGCTACCATTTGTCTGGAACGCCTTTCCACCCCAAATGGAATGTGTGCTGTGACAGGGCCTACTCCTTCATGGAGCTAGTAAAAACCAAAACAAAACTCAGAAGCAACCAGAAACATCCAATAAAATCTGTTGCGAAGGAGAGACTGAGTCCCAGCATGAATGTTTTTAAAAAAGGTCTTATTCCACAAATCAGCTGTCTGAAGCAGCCAACAAAGAGACCTGGGCAATGGCTAGTGAGGCTTTCCATATCCCACCTTCCCATCTGCTGCTCAGGTGAATCAAGATTTCTTTCCCCAGCAGTTTCCCTACAAACCAAGGCACCTACTGGCAAAAAGTCAGAGGCCTTCAGCCCAATGGGCTCATTCCGGGCAGCTGGGATAACAGCCGGTTCTGTCCTGGCCACGGGTGTGGAGGAGATGATTGGCGGCCGCTGGATGGGGTCAGCCTGGAGTAGGGAAGCAAAAATGGCATCAGGGCCAACAGACGCTGGGCTCTAAGTGGCCAGAACACATCTGGAAAGCTGCTTGGCTTCAATGCCCAATGGACCCAATGTAGAATAGGTTTGGGCTAATGCTGACTTGTCTCCCCCACCAGGTAGCAGTGGCATCTGAACAGCCAGCCCAAAGACACCAGGAGCACAGAGATACTTGGAAGTGGTTCCCAATTCTTACAGCACTCTCCTTCAATCATAGCTGGTCAAAAAAAGAAAAGACCACAACCATGCTCCCCTTCACCCAGCTTCAGGGAATTCCAGTAAAGAGGAAGAGGTCTGTCATGACCCCTCAACAAAACTCCCAGGTCCTGCAAGAGGGTCACAGGCCACACCTGGTACTAGTCAGATGCACACATGCACTCATATTTCCTCCAAATCCGAGCTAAGGCAGACATACACTTCCCATGCAACTCAGAACATGCTGCATACACTTTTCTCAGAGCAGCAAGTGGGACCACCTCTGCTCATACCCATGGGACAACAACAGGAGGGCTTATGCGGTCATCCACAAGACCAGCAGGACCACTGTGGGGAAATGGGAGAGGGACTCCCCCCAACCCACAAGGATTTGGACTGAGCTCGCTGATAACAACAACAACAAAGCTGTTCAGGTTGTAGTCCAGGAAGGAGATCTCCCCCAGCAAGGACTGCAATTTACGTACGTCTTCTTGGCTTGGCGATGGGGTTGGAACGTCTGCAGCCTGACTGGGCTTTGAGACTTCTTTGGCAAGTGGGGTTTCTGTGGGAAGAGAGAAGAAAAGCATGTTCTCAGCGTAGGGGTGGCAATTGTCAGTAGCCTCTGGATGTCAATGGACTGTGGCTCCCACTATTCTTTGTCATGGACTATGCTGGCTAAGGGACTGATGGGAACTGCAGTCCAACAACAACAGCGGGTGGGCATCAGGATTCCCTGCTATAGAGGTTCTGACATCCAAGCAATATCAGGAACACAGCGGCTCTTTTGGAGTTCCCTCCCCAACTCACCATCTTCTGGAGGTGCAGGAAAAGGCTCACTCTGGTGCGGTGGAGTTCGAGCTGCAAGGGGGAGAAAGGCCAGTCTCAGATCGTGCTTCTTTTTCAAAAGTTACACAAAGTATTAGGGCACCTGGTATTAGGAGTCCATCAAGGGACACATTCTCCTCTGGGTAAAGAGTCATCCCACAGGCTACTCCCATAATTAAGAAGCTTGGCGATTAAACAAACGTTTCTCTCCCTCATTTTGTCGACTGTCAGGATGTTTATTATTCTTCCCTACATCACCATTCATGAGACGTGAGCTTTCCTAGTTGCTGCAAATTGAACCTGGGGAGATTGCAACCTGAGATGCAAGACCCCCAACTGACTAGACATGTCAGGAGGCACTGTATCAGAGTGGGCAAAGTGCGGCCCCGGGTCCCACTTTTGTGGGCCCTAAAGCCTCTCACCAGTCCCCAGACCCCTCCACTTCTTTAAAAAGATTGGCATAATTTTCTGGCAAAATTTTCTGAAGGCAGGAGGAAAAGAGGAAGACCATATACCAGATGGATAGACTCAATCAAGGAAGGGAAGTGTGCCCTGAATTTGCAAGACCTGAGGAGGGAGGTTGAGGACAGGAGACCTTGGCGGTCTCTCATTCAGAGGGAGACCATAAGGCAAAGCCAACTTGACACACATAACAACAAAGAGCAAGCAAAGCCAAGAATTCCAGAAGCCCCAGCGGGTGACCCCCACATCCCAAAGGACTCACTGATGGAATTCTTTGGCTGGAAGATCTCTTTGTAATCCTCTGCATTCTGGATCTCTGCAGTGGATTCCTTATCTTCCCGGTCATCCTCACTGCTCGGGCTGCGTCTCTCGCTTTCAGAGTTGTGTTTCACTCTACAACACGCAAGCACAATGTTCTCAACAGTTCAATCTCTCACTCCAAACCAGTGCCCTCCAAACGTTTCAGAGTGAAACTCTCCTCAACTCCAGCTAGCAGGGATTGTGGAAGCTGAACTCCAAATCATTTGGAGAGCAGAGCAATGAGGAACCCTTTGGCATTGGGAAACCACAAACCCCACTCAACCATGAGGAGCCTTACCTTTGAGGCTTGCTGCATGTGGTGGAGGGCCGTTCGTAGATGCGTCGGAGGGAGGAGCCCACTGGTGGGGGATGAGTGAGGGGCTTGTCATCCCGGATCAATCCATGCAAGCCAGACCCACATTTGGTGACACGGTTGAGGTCCACCACAAAGGAAGAGACCACGCTTTGTGTGAAAGAAACACCAATCTATGAAAGAACATGCACATTCTTGAATTTCAGGTCACATTTGCAGATCAGCATTTTAAAAAAATGTAATGTCTTAGTGTAAAACATCTACATGTTGTGTCTCCATACTTGGAGTGAACATGAAGCTATCCTGCAGATTAGTGAGACATAATGAGAGCTTTAAAAATTCTCTTTTTCTTGGACTAAACCTTCCGAAATCCCTCAGCTAGCATGGGACAAGCCAGTGTGGTGTAGTGGTTTAAGTGTTGGTCTACAACTCTGGAGACCAGGGTTCAAATCCCCACTCAGCCATGGGAACCTTCTGAGTGACCTTGGGCGAATCATACTCTCTCAGCCTCAGAGACAAGGCAAAAATCCCTCAGAGCAAATCTTGCAGAGAAAACCTCGTGATAGGTTCACCTTAGAGTCACCATAAGTCGGAAATGACTTGAAGGCACACAGCAAATAGGAAAAGATAATAGGACTCAAGGTACATCTGCAAGCAGCAAAGTTGGCCTATACAACACCCCTGCCACACTGCTGCCACCCTTGCCCACCAGAAGGATATCTGGCAGCCTTGAGTACCAGCTCAACTGTTAAGCCCAGAAGGAGAGGAATTAAGTGACACAAGTTATTGTTGGCCTTTAAGACACTCACCAGCTGATTGTTACAGATGGACAAATCTGCCACCTTGCCCCAATTCACCAAGACCACATCAAAGCAGCGCTCAGGCTCCCAGCCGTATACGCGCAGGGAATCGTGGCAGCCCGCGTACAAGCAGCAGCCATCGGGATTGAACAGCACACACCTGGGAAAAACGGAGATACAGATGGGCCAAACCAGACTGACAATGGGATGTGACACTAAGGGGAGCAGCATTCTAGCCAAGAAAGGTACCTAGCACAATCTCTGCAGCCCTCATCAGGGCTTGTAAAAGTTCTGGTTTTGGACTGCAACTGCAGAATCTGAGAGATTCTGGGAGTTGCAGTCCAAAAAAGGGACCATTTCCAAGTGTTGACTCTAACTACATGTCAGAAGGATTCTGCACTTAACTGGACCAGAGATTTGACTGTGTAGTGGTGTGAGTGTTGGACTATGACTCTGGAGATCAGGATTCAATTCCCTGCTTGGCCACAGAAACACATTGGGTGACCTTGGGCGAGACACATACCCTCAGCCCCAGAAAATCTTACAACAGGTTCACCTTAGGGTCGCCATAATTTGGAAATGACTTGGAAGCACACAACTATAAAGAAAAAACACATTTCAAATACAATACAAAATTACAACATTGTGCTGTGCTCTCCAAATGATTTGGACTTCAACTTCCATGGTCCCTGATAGTTGGGGATGATGGGAGTTTCAGTCCAAAGCATTTGGAAGAAAAGCAGATGCTGCTATAACCTCACATAATCTGTGACATACTTACCTGACAGGAGTAGCCTCCTCCTCAATGCAGCTCACAACCTGGAACTTCTCCAAGTCCCAGAACCTGATTGTTCTGCAAGGCAAAAAGAAAAGCAGTTGAAAATAACAGAAATCTTAAAAGCCACAGCCCAGCTAGACAACTTATCATAAATTCTCAAACCACAGGGAGGAACTTATAAAGGTGAAGGTTTCCAGAGGCCAGGACATCTATGATGTGAGAAGGAAAACACAGGACTTTAAAATTCTCAGAGACCAACATGGAAGCAGGGAGGTCCAAATATCATCAGTCACTCTGTCTATAGCATTGTTGTGACCAGTACGAATATTTGTAACACAGAAAAACAAACCATGGGGCATCCTCTCTGGTGTCCTCATTTTCTCAATAATGGCTTTACCTGTCAGAGCTACCTGAGGCCAAAAGGTATTCGTTGGGATGAAATTCAACAACATTCACTGGTCCCGCGTGCCCCGTGAACTCGAACATGATCTTTCCAGCAGCCAGGTCCCACAGCTAGGCAGAAAAGAAGCATCAAGCCTTAAGCAGCCCATTCCTGGCTGATTCAAAGGAGTGGATGGGGGAGTTGATGCAAAAGGATGGGCCAAAACAGCCATGAAAGAAACATGGATGGGTTGCCAGAGAGAATTAGAAAGCAACTGTATTTGTACCTTCACTGTGTGATCATCTGAGGAAGACGCCAGCCATTTCCCATCTGGACTGAATCGGAGACACCTGACTGCTTGCGTATGGCCCTGCAAAGTCAACACAGACTCAATGCAAGCTTGGAACAGTTGGATACCTTTCAGCAAGTAAGAATGAGAACACTTTAGAAGCACATCAGTGGGCCTCACAGAGAAAGCATGAAGGCTGATAGGCCGGTCATGTCTAAATTCTGCATGGTTAAGGGAAACTACTCAAGAGCAAGAGAAAAATTTGTTTTCCTTGGCCCAGTTGATTAGTCAAAGATTAGTCCATTAACAGTGGTGGGAAACTCTAAGCCTTCTGCTGCATGTACATCCCCCTTCCTTCTACCAGAGGAGGCAGGAGGCCACATGGTTTGCCAGAGACTGGCTCTCTAGGCAGCTGGCTACTTGTTCAGTGCCCGCCTTTGCTGGGTTCTCAGAGTCAAAACACTGGGAGAAGGGTGGCTTGGGAAATTGCCAAAACAAAACAAACAAAAAGGAAAGAAAGAGAGGGGAGAATCTGTTAGCTTTCCACTTTGCAGACTCTTTGAAGAGCAATGCAGCTGTGAAGATCAGTGGCTGCACTACTGGTACATCACATGTACATTTGCTCCTGAACCAATTGCATAGGCAGTCTTTCTTCTTACCTTGTACCTGAAGACACAACCTTTTCTTCTCACATCCCAAAGCTGAAAGGAAAACGTCCAGAATTTTAAAAAATGAGAACTTAAGAAGTGACCTGAACAGTTCTCAAAGCATCTGCCTGAAATTAAAAAGTCCAAGGATACTGTCTGGAGCTGAATAACATTTTTCTAAGTGCATACGGTTCCCATGTAGGTTCCACAGAACGAGAGAGAGGTCACAATGTTGGAAAAGCCCTATGAAAAACACTCTTTTTACTTGTTCAAGATAACCGTAAGCAACAGGTACAAACATGATTTCAGCTTTCCCATCTCCAGATCTCTAGGCAACAATGGAGGAAAGGGACAGGCTGGTGAAACAGTTCTTCCTCTTCCTGACACTTTCCTGAGGTGCTGGAGGAATACAGATTGCAGTCGCATGTTTGAATACAACTGGTATGCAGAGGAATAAATTAAGGTGCCTACAGACCACCCTGGGGGGGGGGGGAAGCACCCAGGGAAGTTGCATTTAGCCATGTGAGGTTCAAGGGAGCCAAGCAGAAACACTGGAAATACCAACTAACAAGTGGGCTGATGCTGTTTTGAGACCATTGCTTAAGAAGGGCTACAGTTCTCAGCATAGCCACTGAGTAGTGAGAAGAAAAGCATTATTAAGGTTTTACCTTAATGTTGGTGTCCATGGATCCAGAGGCTACAAACCCCCCAAAAGGATGGAAGTCCAGGCTGCAAATATTTGCTTTGTGGCCCATTAACGTACGGAGAACTGGGTAGAAAAGCAAGGGAAGGGGGAAAAATTGAGAAAGATGGATGATTGAAATTGGCAGGCAGCTTGGGGCCTTCCAGATGCTTCTGCACCACATTTCACTCCCAGTATCCCTTAGCACCTGCTATTTCTGGTAAGAGCTGATGGGAGCTGCAGTCTTGCAATAACTGGAAGGCGACATGTCCCCTGCCCTTTGTTGAAAAGGAATTAGCAACTCCACCACCAATGCACACCAATCAAAATGGTTGATACATTTCAATTTAAACCAGACCTGGTATATTAGAGAATTCTTTTAATTATCTTTTTTTTTTAATGAACTGGTTTAAAACGAAATCAGACCTTAATTCAAATATGTGGCAACTGACATCAAGGCCTGGATCCTGTTGTTTGACAATCACCCACTAGAGCAGACCCTTTATATCAATGGGATTTACATGTTGACTTGCCCCTCAACAATTAATTTTATGGCGCTATTCTAGTGGGGACTAAGAAATAAATACAGGCCACAATCTCTTTCAAATTTTACTGCTTCATATTTTGAACTGTTTGAAATTGTTAAGCTGATTGTATTGTACGCCACCCTTAGATCTTTGGCAGTAAGGTGGGAGCTAAATATTTTAATCTATAAAGAAATGAGAAATAAACCTACCAAGATGTCTAAAGTCGGCTTTTCCACACAAGAGACAAAATCATGGGAAACACTATTTGAGTGTGGAAATCAGACATTAAATATGTCTTGAGAGATCCTATATTACTCTGTTAAATTATAAATACTTGGGCATCAAAGAAACTGCATTTCCCTTCTATTAGGGCTGGCATCTGACCAGTACAACTACACAATCCCGGTGCCTCCGTCAGCTGACAAATGTTAGGTTTGTAGCCTTCGGGGTGGAAGGTCTATTAGTGAAAAGAAGAAGAAAGAGGCACTCCTGAAACCTACAGAGGAAACCAAGTGTCCATTTGTGAAGCTTGACATATAGAACTGACACTGAACCTACTTTTGGCAGCTTCCAGGTCCCAGATCCGAATGGAGCCTGACTGAGACCCAGCAACAATCAGCTCTTCATTCGTATTAATTTTCACACTCTCCACTGGTGTTGTGTGACCTGTCAGGCTCTGGACAAAACAAAAAAAGGAACAATGAGCCAACCAAAGGCCCCTCATCCCTAAATCTCCCTAGTGAAATAAGACCACAAAATGAACTTCAAGGGGTGTCACAACAAATGCCTACAGCTCAGTCTAGCCACAGTGAAAGTGACACATTGGTTAGACAAGAGTCACATTCACAGCTACAGAGACAGTCAAATCCCAACATCACAATTACTGCTAAAACTAGATTTTTGCTGACATTTGTCACAGGGCATGTTCATCTAGAATGTGGCACCAGGAGATGGTTTCTCAGCCCTGCAGCCACTGCATTTTGTGTTGCTGCCACCTACTATTTTATCCCTAATACTATTTAAAATCTAAACATAGTCAGTGGGAATATTCTTCAGGAAATGTGGAACCAAATGCCACTGGTATGCTAGTGCTGCTCAGCTGTGTTTCTCTATATTGCCTGAATCAGATGAAGTTGTGCAGGTCCTGGACCTGAGCACAGGCCCAAGTCCAGTGATGGGCTGGATGAGGGCATCACTACTAATTTGGACGATATGGAAGGAACCATTGTACACAGCCACCTGGGGTCTTGTGTAGAGAGAAAGGCAGGATATTAATTAATTATTAATACCTCCTTTGGTATGCTTTTCCTCACTGCCCTCCTTCCTGGACCTTCTGCATGACTCTTTGTGTGTGTATGC